TCGGCACATGATCGTCGTACCTGCGAGGGCGACGGGACCGACTGACCGACCCACGTCGCCAGCGTACATGCGAGGTCTTGCATGGATGCATTGGCGTCGCGTAGCACCTGTAGCGTGAGGCGCGACTCGGCGTTGGCCTGCGCGAGGCCGGCGGCCACGTCCTTCCATGGCAAGCACGAGGTCGAGGTCGGGGCAGGGACAGGCAGGCGCGTCGCTAGGGTGGCCACGACGTCGCGGAGCTCAGCGAGTTGGCTCAGGAGCTGGCTGCGCTCGGTCGTGAACCGGTCGCGGTGGCGCTTCTGCTTGAGCCGGTTGCGCCGGCGCTGGTGCTCAACGCGCGCATCCATGAAAAACACAAACTCCGACACTCATGCTCGGAACGACCAACAGTCTGGTTGGATCTGATTGGTTCACGGCACTCAGTGCAGTGTTGGATGGCTTGTTGAACCTCGACGACGACGCCCAAACCCATCTCTGTATTTTGATCACCAAAGCTCACCAAACCTGATCATTAAAGGAATCTGCTCTCGCGGTCGTCGACTCTCTGTACGAGCAGCTGTCTTGGACGGTGAGTCGAGAAATGCCATCGAGTGGGTGCAAGCCCGTCCGTTGTACTGTTCGAGTCTTTTGCACCGGCCTTTTATGTAAACTACAGTACTAGTAGAAGTTAACCTGACATTTTGTAAAGCCCTCGAGGAGCTCATGGTCAGGCTTCAAGTTTGGTCCTGTGATTTTCGTGTGTTTATAGCATTCTTAAGAGGCATAATGGGTTGTACCGCGCTGAATCAAGAACGAAAGGTGCACTCCATTAACGTTGCTCTGCGGTACAGTAGTATCAAGTTATCAGCGGCGCCGCGTCTGTCGCGTCGGCGTTATTCGCCAAAAAGGCAAAGTCGCTAACGAGAAGCGGCATCCAACTACGCTCGAGGACGTGCTGATACTGTGTAAACTGCGCGTCGTCCGAAAGATCAGATACGTCCAAGTCCAACGACGCCATGTCCTCGCGCCACGTCATCGGCACACCACGGTCGATCCTGGGGCCCGTGCACGAGACCCAGCGTAGCCGGGTTTTAGACGGCCCCACCCGTTCCAAAAGAAACCTAGCACCACATTTCATGAGGTTCCAATGCGCCAACATAAATAATGCACGTGCCAAAACATGCGGGGTCGCCACATTTCGTTGACGGGCTGGAGCGCGTCTTGGTTGAAATTGCCCGTCAAAAAGACAATACGGTCCTGCGAGGCAAACTCGCGGCTCACGTAGTAGTTGCTTTCGTCTGCATCCATCGGCGACCGCCTGTAGACCATCTTGGGATCGATGCTTTGCGTCATCTACAAGAATCCGTCAGCGGGCGATTTCGTTCAATCTTCTTGTACCTCTTCGTCTAGGAATTGAGAGACCCACGGGTACGTATCCCCGCGCAATTTACGCCAGATTTTGCTCTCGAGCGCAGCGTACGTTGCCCACAGCGGCGCGTCGAACTCAATCTGAATACGCCCGAGCACGTGGAGGAGGTCGTCGGCCGCCGAGCCAAGAACTGCAATGTCTCGGACCGTGCCCTTTGACGGAAAAGCCGCTGCCGCCAGAATACGGTCCGTGTTGTAGTACATGTGCTGCGTAAACCAGTCGAGACCGAGCTTCCGCGTCGTCGGCTCAGCGTGCAGCGTCACTTGGTTCCAGGCCAAGACGTTGCTGCCACCCTAAATTGCGTTTTTTTAGTCCCGAAAAGGCAAAGTGACTGTACCGGCACGGGATGCTTGGTGCTCGCGGCCGCGACCCACGCCGCCATCGCGCGCGCAAGGTCGTCGAGCGCGTCCGCGCGCTGGCGCAACACCTCAAGCGTCAGGCGCGATTCGACACTGGCCTGTGCCAGGCCGCCAGCGATGATCTTCCACGGCAACGACGTCTTGGGCGGCTTGCGTGCCTCCAGCCGCGTGACCACGGCGCGCAGATCGTCGATGCGTGCGAGTAGCTGGCTGCGCTCGGTCGTGAACCGGTCGCGGTGGCGCTTCTGCTTGAGCCGGTTGCGCAGCCGCTGGTGCTCGGAGCGGCGGAGCTCTTCCGACGTCGGCTGCGGCATGGCGTGTGTTCTGCCAAATTAAAATAACCCGCCATCGGGTAATAGCGCGCTCCCACTCTCGACCCAACAACCCGTTTATACCCGCACCGGAATTCCGCACCGGTACTGCGACCAGTCCTTCGACCTTCAAATGCTTGGCGATGCACCAACCCACATCATCGTACGTCGAGCTACCCATCGAATTGCCGTCGTGGGCACAAGTTCATCAAAGTCTCAGATTCGAGTCGTGGTTCATCGGTAGCCCCGTCATGTTCTCCGACCAAATGGCGTGCGTGAGAAGACGAAAGCAGATTTGCCGAGTTTTACCGAAGTGAAGAACAGTCTGTGCATGGCTATAGGAAAACGATGCCCGTGGGAACTGAGTACATTATTTTTTTAAAGCCTCAGCAACAAAATCAAATTCTGCAGGGGTTCTTCTGCAGCGCTATGCTCTCAATTCGAGGATGTAGGTGGAACAGTCAAAGCGCCTCGACGTGGTCATAAGAGCAAGTAAACAAAGAAAACCCGAGTCCGTCCGTTCGAAACAGGTGTATGTGTTAGTAGCCGTCGTGCATGCGTCGCAGCCAAGGGCTCGGCGTCATCGTCGTGCCAGAGACATCGCTGTGTTTACAGCCACGTAGCTTCGCCACGATCAAGTTGAACGATAAAGTGGAACCAACGTACATTGCAACGCTTGAAAACATGCCCGATATCTAGCTGCGCTTGGCTACACTTGACTGAGGGCAATGATTACCGCACGACGACCTGCCGCACGAGCATGTCTACCTCAACCGACTGGACTTGGTTTGGCATCTCGCAACAGCGAGGCACTGGAGGTCATTCCTATTTCATTTGCTTCAAGGAGCCTGACTAGCCTCTGATTCGATCATACATGGTGCGAGAATCATGTCTGCCATATCTAGCTAGGTACCCCCTTGCGTTTGGTTCGCGCCCGTAGGATCACCAAAATGCATTTGGATGGACCCTTGCGACCAGCGAAGAACGATTTGGAGAAAATTGTCCTGTGGCTTTCTCTCTAGAAAAGGTGCTTTACGCAAGGTCCAACCGTTCATTCGCTATCGAGTCGGGGCTTGCCTCGGGCAACAGCAGCGCCGCGTAGTCGACGTCCATGATTGGCTGCACGTGGCGGCGTACGAGGCGGCGGAACGTGTCAAAGTCCAAGGTATCAGTGTCCGGGGCGGCCGCGAGGTTCATCAAGCCCGTGTCCCGCTGCCACGGCACGAGCGTGCCGGCTTGTATTTTGGGGCCATTGTACAACATGGCCCGAAGGCGCGTGCGGTGCGGCCCGATGCGGTCCAGGATGTACCTACGACACCACTCAATCTCCTCCTCTCTCAAGCTATGGGAGCGTACCAGTACATGCGCGGGCGCCATTGCAAATTCGCCGGCTGCAAGGCGTCTTGCGTAAAGTTGCCTTGGGCAAAGACGATGCGGTCACGCGTGGCGACCTCCCGCGCGACAAAAAAGTTGGACTCGTCCGCCGAGATGGCCGAACGCAGGTACGACATGCACGACGGGTGGTCGATGCGTGCAATGAGCTAGAGGTTCATATTCGCATCTCCATTACATTGGCTCCAAGAGGAAGACGGCGTACGTCCGTGTCGAGTGGCTCCACTGCGCACGCGCTGTTGACGCCGGCGAGCTCCGCCCAAATGCGACCACGGAGCGCGGCGTGCGCTCTCTCGAGCGAGAGACCATACTCGATCTGGATACGCCCGAGGAGGTCGGCGATGCCGTTGCCACAGTCGCGCACGATCGTGTCTTTCACCGCACCATCGCACGGAAAGGCGCTGAGCTGCAGCATGCGCTCCGTGTTGGCGTGCAAGTGGCGCGTGAACCAGTCGAGGCCCAGCTGCCGCGCGCTGGGCTCGGCGACGAGCGCGATCGAGCTCCATGGCTCAGCGTGCATCTACTAGTACAGTGGGATGAGCCATCGATGGAAGGAGGGCGTAGGACCGGCACGCCGCGGGCAACGGTCGAGACCATGGACGCGAGCGACCGGCTCAGCTTCTCCAGTCGCTCCCGATGCGTGTTTAGAGCGGCTCGCGTTGCCTCGGCTTCCAAGGCCTCTTCGGCAAGTGCGGCAGCTATCGCTGTCCAGGGCACGAGCGTCGAGGTCGCCTTCGAACGTCGGGCGTGGAGCTTGGCCGAGCGGCGCAGACACAGCCGGAGGTCGGCACCTCAGTGAGGAGTGCGTCACGCTCGGCGTTGTGGCGGTCGCGGTGGCGCTTCTGCTTTTGCCGGTTGCGGAGCCGGAGGCGCTCGCTGGCCGCGACGTCGTCCATCGCAGCTCAAAATAGCGGGTTCGACGACCAACACTCTGAGAGCCTACATTCCCAATCGTTCGATTACCTGGCGTGCACTTCACGTAATCGAACGTTATTGTAATAGACGACCCCTTCAACAACAACTAACA